ATAAGATGTCCGACCAAAATGAAGATTTGAAAGGACACATGTCCTGTTAAAGAAGAAAAATTATTTCCAGTGCTGATGCAGTACCTTGGCAATGTTAAGCTTTCCACTAGAGGTAGAGAAGAATGTACAGACCATGACGATCTCTAGGTTTTTACAGAAGTGGCAAACCCAAGGTTAAAGAAATCCTCGATGGCTCCCCTGCTGTAGCTTTGCACCAATCAGCCCACTTTGGGCTTTTTCTCATTTCTGGTTGAGTTTCGAGATAGAGGAATACTCTATCATACGCATCCTGTATTGCTACAGCCTCCAACAACACATCTTTGCATTCTGCAATGAATTTGACACGCACTGTCACAAGTTCACATATATTCTTGTCAGAAACAAAATATTGTTATTCCCAAAATGATGTCAGAAGCCAACTCGTCCCATTCTCCACTATTCCTTGGTCATGAACATGGAAAAGGGCAATTTTACAAACTTTGAAAATTCATACAAAATTAACGAAGGTAGCTATAACGATAATTTTTTCGCAGTGGTGATCAGGAGAAAAAGGAAATTTATATCAGCGAAAAAAAAAACATTTTTGTGGTTAGTGGCACTTTAAGTAACTTGGTAATTTTATTTGGTAGTAATGTTTTTAACAAACTCTTTTTAACACATCCAGTACAATCTTCATTACAGGAATGGGAGGGTGCATTTTTCTGTTGACAAGTTCATAAGAAGTGGGAGCATTTTTGTGTTTCTATCAAGTTTTAGTGGATAATGCAAATTTTATGCTGCAATCTGATTGGCTGAACCATTGTACGCTATCAGCCATTAGTGTGCAGTGGCTGTAGCTCGCTTGCAAAATGACTACATTTGCATACTTCCTGAAATAACAGAGGAGGATTTAGGAACAATGATTTCCAAGAAGATTAAAATTAAAAAAACGTGGTTGGATTTTATTATACCCGGCAACTCTAAAGGCATAGTAAGTTTTATGACACCGCGGTCTGTGGTCCACACAGTTGATGAGACAACAAAACAAATGCTACCACTGTCCATGGTGTTTAGTCCTGCGGTACAAATCTTTTTAAAAGGAAAGAACCAAATCATTATGGCACAAAAGCAGTAAGATCAGTTAACTTGTACAGCATTGACAGACTCTATCATTGAGTTATTTTTTTGTAAAAAAAAATACCTCTTAGTCGGCGC